CCCGCTGCGCCAGCCGAACCCGAGGCTTGTGATGAGCGATCTGAGGAGGTCTTTCTCGCGAGCACCCGAGAGAATGAGCAGCCGCCGTAGCATCAGCGCGAGGCACGTTCTCTGCTCGGCCAGCCCGGCCCGCAGCAGCTCCCCCAGGCAATACCCACCTCCACCTCTGCGTACTGAGTCATAATAACGGCGCCAGATCCACAACGGCAGCGACGAGGGTCAGACGAGAAACGCCTCTCCCCCCGAAGCATCGACAATAACGACGGTGGTAGTGCCTTGCTGGCAGCATTTCTTCCGGGAGACTCCATGGAAACGGAATGCCTCGCTCGTGCTTGGGGGAGGGAGTATCGGGCATGCTGTCGACAAGTCGTGGAATTGCCCCAAACTTAGCGCAGCGCCCCCCGAGTTGGGCCCTGGATCAAAGAGTCCTAAAGTGGCCCCCTCCAAGCGTCGGAAGGACTCGTCGCCGCGCGCGGCTTCCTCATGGGCCGACCAGCGGCTGACACAGGACCTTACTTGGCGCAGGCTGCAAGCGGCACGATTCCCGCGCGCCTCGAGAAACGAAGAGGACGAGGCTCACCCAAAATGTCGCCAGCACGCCGCGCAGCCTCTGATCCTGGCCCCCAAGAACTCAAGCCCCTGGTTTCCAGGCTTGCCCCAGGGCGCTGGGATTCCAACTCCAGCTGGGCCAGGAAACGAGAACCGTCGCACGGACACGGCCAGCCTCAAGAGACAGACTTCAGCTGCGACGGAGTTGCCGTACCAATCTCGGCGACGACGACGAGGGCGAGGGCGAAGACGACGGCAACGACGACGAGGAGGAGGAGGAGGAGGAGGAGGAGGAGGAGGACGACGGCGACGGCGACGGCGACGACGACGACGACGACGGACGCCTTAGCTTTGGCGCTTGTGGCTGCTCGCGCGGGCTCTGCGCCCAACTCAGCCGCGTCGGCCAGACCGTCGCCGTCGCCGCTGGGCACGGGAGCCTCAGCGCTGTGGGCCCCCGGCGCCCCCGCGCCGTTGGATCTCGCGCCGCGGGGTCCTTCGCCGTCCTCGGCGGGTCCTCCGTTAAGGGGGGGTCGTCGAGCTGAAGCACTCAGGTGTCAAACTCGGGCCTTTCGACGGAGGTGAGTGCAGAGCCCTTGCCCTCGACGAGCGAAGAGGGATTGATGGCCGACACCGCTGGGACATCAGGGGGTGGGCCCGCCGCCGCCTGCGGCGCCTGCGAGAGCTGCTTGGCACAAGCCGCCTCCCACGGCCAAGGGAGGACGAACCAGCCGGACCCGATAACTGGCGTTTGCTAAGCGGCCCTGGGCGTTTACTACACAACTCTTCCCCTGTTCGGTTCCTTCTTTGGGTGCGCTTACTGAACGGCTTCGCGTGTCGGGGTGATTACCATGGGGATGGAATTTCTTCTCTCTAAACTGCTGCTTCGCCTCAGGGACCGTTTGACGCGCATTGGCCTCGTTCGCAGGAGCTTCTTGCAGCCATTTTTCTGCCCCGAGCACCCGAAGCGAGCGTGTCTCCCACCGCGCTTGGGCACGACGGCGCGCGACGCCTTTGGCCGCAACCTCTTGATCCAACAAGGGAACATGTGGGGCCACCGCAGACGACAGGCCTCGGACAAAAAAGGCGAACACGCATACCATATTCATCGGTCAACACCCCCCCCCCTCCTCCTCCTCCTCCTCCTCCTCCTCCTCCCATTGGTCAAAGTTGCCGGTAAGTCTGATAACTTGCGCTGCGACCGCAGTCTCCCCGCGCGTGTTAAGTCTGACTTTGGGGGAGCGGGGGAGTGTCCACCAATTGTTTCCCCCGACCGGATGGTTCAGCCTCCAACAACTTGGCTTCCACCTTTGACTCCTCTTCGTAGTCGCCGAGTTTAGCCCGCGACTGCTCCACCAAGCTGGAAGCGCCGCGCTCCGAGCCTGGAGACGAACCGCTCTTCGGGGAAAGCGGCCACCGATCGGGGCGCAGTCAGGGCTGACGAATTGGTCAAGTCAAGAGGCCATATGCCAAGTGGCGTGTGGGCGAGACAGCGCATTGCATTGTACTGCTCCTGATGGGCCTTGCCTCTGGCAGGGCCCGCGGGCAGACGACTGCGACATTGGCACCGCTTTGGCCGCGGGAGAGCAAACCACATCTCGATTACGACGCAGACCTGTTGGTGGTGGTGGTTGAGAAATCGCCTTCGCCTGCAGCTGCTACCCTCCCTCGGACCAAGGTGGGGATGGTTCCTGCTCCTTCTGAGACTGGGATTTGTCCGCCCACTCAAAGCACGGTGGACCGTTCGCCCACTTCCCTGTGGCCGCCGATGCAGGTACGGGAATTCCACAAGTGGCTACGCGCAGCCGCAGCATCAATATTTGGACTTGAAGTTTCAGCGACTTGCAAGCTACATATCGCTGCACCCTCTTCCCTCCCTTACCCATCGGCAGGCGGACGTGGCACTGGGGAGAACCAGCACGCTGACCAAGGTGGAGTGGCCAACAATGGAAGGACGCCGCGTGCTGGGACGAGCCAACACACGGCTCAGGTCAAGGCGAACTGATTGACAGCGGGACATTGTTGCGACACAGCGGTGCCCAGTTCGTTCGCTGAGAATCTTCAGGCCTCGAGCCGAAACGTCTACGGAGGAGCAGGAGGAGCAGGAGGAGGAGGAGCAGGAGGAGGAGGGGGAGGAGGAGGAGCAGGAGGAGGAGGAGGAAGAGGAGGAGGAGAAGGAGGAGGCGGAGGAGGTGGGACATTGGGAACAGCACGAGCACGCATGGTGAGGGTGACCACAGAAGGACCAAAGGGAAGGCCGAGGAAGCACGGAGAGGAGGACTGCAGGAGGACCCGGGGAGGCAGGAGTCGAGGCAGGCGGCGCGAGCGAGTCGGCGGGCGCCATGCGGGCCTGGTGTCAACGCCAGCACGATCGGCTGCTCGACCAGTGCAGCGGTGCCACAGGATGCCTCGCTTGTTTCGGGCAAAGAGATCGGGGGTGGACAGACCTCCTACCCTGACACGTCGATTAGTGAATTGGCAGTTTTCGGTTCGCGAGAGGGGGTCGCGGCCGTCATTTTTGCGGGTCCAGGTCCGTCGGTTTCGGTCCCAGGCCGTTTTCACTAAGGGGAGGTTCACTAAAGGGAGGTTTGTCCACCGCCGAGGAGAGCTATGCACATGCACCGATCCTGACAACGTCCATCCCTGACCCAGGATCGGTGCATGTACCTTTCTGGCCAAGGTAAAGAGGGCGTATGCACCGATCCTGGGCTCAGGATGGGCCTGGCCAGAATCGGTGTATGTGCATAGTTCCCTTTCCTCTGTTGTTTCATATGTTTCATGGTTGCCCGGATGCACACATGCCTTTACGAGTACGTATGTACACATGTGTGTGCTCAAATATACGTGCACACGGTAACATCTAAGCATCATGTGTATATCATTATATGTGCACTCTCAGAATCTGAAGCTATGGCCGTATCCCCACGCATGCAAACATACGCGAGTAGACAGATCTGCATACCGGTGTGTGGGTGTGTACACACATGTGTGTATGTATGCATGTATGTATGTATGGATGGATAGATGGATGCATGCATGCATGCATGCATGTATGTATGTATGTATGCGTGTGTGTATGTGTGTATACGTACGTACGTACGTGCGTGCGTGCGTACGTACGTACGTGGGCAGGCAGGCAGGCAGGCATGTATGTAATGTATGTAATGTATGTATGTGTGTATATATGTATGCATGTATGTATGTATAGATGTATGTATGTAGGTATGTATGTATGTCTGTATGTAGGTATGTATGTATGTATGTGCGTATACGTATGCAAATATGCATGTATGTATGCATGGATACATGTACGTATGTACGTATGTATGCATGTCTGTATGTATGTACGCATGTATGTATGCATGCATGCATGTATGTATGTGTGCATGATTGTATGTATGTAATGACTGTATGTATGTATGTATGCATGTATGTATGGATGGATGGATGGATGGATGGATGTATGAATGTATGTGTGTATGTGTGTATATGCATGTATGTGTGTATGTATGCATGTGTGTATGTATGTATGGATGGATGGATGGATGGATGGACGGACGTGCGTACGCATGTATGTAGATACGTATGTGTGTCTATGTATGTATATGTATGTATGTATGTATGTATGTATGTATGTGTGTGTATGTATGTATGTATGTATGTATGGATGTATGTACGTATGTATGTATGTATGTATGTATGTATGTATGTATGTATGTATGTATGTATGTATATATGTATGTATGTATATATGTATATAGTTATGTATGTATGTATGTATGTATGTATGTATGTGGTATATGCATATGTATATGTATATGTATGTATATGTATGTATGGATGTATGTATGTAATGTAATGTAATGTAATGTATGCATGCATGCATGCATGCATGCATGCATGCATGTATGTATGCATGTATGTATGTATGTATGTATGTATGTATGTATGTATGTATGTATGTATGTATGTATGTGTGTATGTGTGTATGTGTGTATGTGTGTATGTGTGTATGCATGCATGCATGCATGCATGCATGTATGTGCGTATGTATGTTTGTAGGTGTGTATATATATATATATATATATATATATGAATACGCCGGGGGGGGTGGTCGGGACGCTGCCTGCTCCCCCCAGTGGCTCTGGGGGGGGTCTCAGAGCTCCCGCGACGGCACGGGCTCGCCCCGAAACAGGCCACGACAGGCTAAGGGGGACCCTAGAGGGCCCAAAACGGTCCCAAGAGGCCCCGAAGACGTCCAAGATGCCCTCAAGACGGCCGCCGAGGACTCCAGCGCGCTCCAGGACGGACTCAAGAGGCCCCCCAAGAGGGCCCTGGAAGGCAACATTCATTAATTTTCAGAGGGTTTTTGAAGGATTTTGGCGTTTTCGCTTTTCCCGCTTCCAAGCGCTCCCTCACGGATTCGGAGGCCCTTCAGATCGCTCCAAGATGGCCCACGAGGCCCCGAAGAGGTCTCCAAGACGGCCAGGGAGGCTCCCCAGACAACCCAAGTTCGCCCCAATAGCGCCCCAATAGGGGGCCCAGATGAGGGACCGCGAACCGATATTTCGAGGTCTCTGGCCCTAGAGGCTCCGAGTAGACCCCCGGAGGCCACCAAGAGGCTCCCACAAAGGCCCGTGAGCCGTCCAAGAGGCTCCCAGGAAGCCCCAAGAGGCCCCCAAGAGGCCCCCAAAAGGCTCCCAAGAGGCCCCCAAGAGGCCCCCAAGAGGCCCCCAAGGGGCCCCCAGGGAACGCCCAAGAGGCCCCCCAACACATCCCAACAAATCATGTCCCCAGAAAACCTGTCGGAGACATGGTTCATATGGGCCCGAGAGTCTCTGGAGGCTCCGAAGTGACATCACGCTACTGGAGAGCTGTCTGGGAAGTTGACGGGGAACACGACTGATCGCCTTCTCGCGGCCCTCCGCGGATCGCTTCGCACAAGATTGCCCCACGTGCCCTCTTGAACCGACGACGACGACGAGGACGACGGAGACGACGAAACGACGAAGACGAGGACAACGACGACGACGACGACGGCGCGCCCCAAGAGGCGACGACGACAATTACGACGACGACGACGACGGCACGCCCCAACAGTCTCCGCAAGACGCCCCCCGAACCCATGTTCCCAGAAGGCCTTGTGGGAGCCCAATTCATCAGGCCTCCGCTACCATCTTCCCCGAAAGCCTGGACTTCTCACTGCCCATAATGCGTTCATCGTTATGGACACTTCTTCACTTCCCGTTCAAACCATTTATGGTCCACTACTACTTCGGTGGAGCAGTGAATTTGTCAAGGCCTGGGGCCTGCTAGAACCTGAACGCGCGCGAAGCGCGTGCGATGGTTCTAGTAGGTATGTACGTATGTGTGCGCTTGAGAGAAGCATGAGGCGACGTGGGGGGGGGATGACGGGAAAGAGGCGACGGCGGCACCGTGTTGATAATATCCAGCTGCCTGCGGCAAACCCCGCCACCGTGCCTGTGTAACAGCGCAGCAGGAAGGAGTCTGAGTGTAGGAACAGCGCAATTCCGACGAGTAGTCTGCAATGGGGCGGGTCGTGATCCCGACCTCGTCTTCGTGCGCGCGGGATGGAGGAGCAGGAGGTGGAGGAGGGGGAGAACATCAGGATGAGGAGGAGACGGCTTCTTGGGGCCTTCCTGGGGCTCCCTGGGAGCCTCCTGGGAGCTTCCTGAAAGCTTCTTGGGGGGCTCTTGGGGGTCTCATGGGGCCTCTGGGGGGCCTCTTGGGACCTCTTGTGCGGTCTCAGGGGACTCCTGGCCCGTCCGACGCCCATGCAGGCCGCCTGGGGGACCTCTCCCGGCCGCGTCGGTGCTCGCCTCGAGCGGTGCACGGCCGTCTTGGGGTCATCTTTGGGGGGCCCTTGGGCGATCCTCGAGGTCCTCTCGGGCCGACTTGGGGCCCTCTCGGCGGCCTCTTGGGCTGTCTTGGAGCCCTCTTGGAGGCCTCCCAGAGGCCCGGTCGGAGGCCCGAACGGGTGAGAACCCCAAAGTTCTTCGAACACCTGAGGACAGACGCCTGTTTGGGCCTCCTCGGGCTCTCTGGGAGGGCCTCTTGGAGACCTCTTGGGCCTTCTTGGGGGCTTCTTGGTCTGTCTTGAGACCTTCTTGAGAGCGTCTTGAGCCGTCTTGGGCCATCTTGGGCCATCCTTGGCGTCATCTTTGCTGCCCTGCAAGCCGTCCAGGAGGCCATGCGTTTGCAGATGAAGGGGCCTCCAATACGGCCCAAGAGGTCTCCACGAGGCCCTCCAAGAGAGCTCGAGGAGGCCAACACCATTGATTCTCCTTCTTCGTTTGAATGATTTGAGGTTCTGACATGTTTGGGTTTCCGACCGCCCAAGGCAGCCCGATAGGCTTCTCTGGGCCGTCTTGTTGCTTCCTTGGTGCGCTTCAGGGCCGTCTTGAGGTCATCTTTGGGGGGCCCTTGGGCGATCTTTGGGGTCCTCTTGGCCCGACTTGGGGCCCTCTTGGGGGCCTCTGGGGCTGTCTTGGAGCCATCTTGGAGGCCTCTTGGAAGCTTATTGGGCCGTCTTAGGTGGTCGGACACCTGAAAACGCGAGGACCTCAACATCCTTCAAACACCGAGGGGGAACCAATGGTTTTGGACCCCTTTGGGTTCTCCAGGACTGCCTCTCGGAGTTCCCTCGGGCCGTCTTGGGGGCCTCCTGGGCAGTCATGAAGCCTTCGTCGATAAGACAGCCAGACAACAATTTCAAAAGGGGCGGTTTTCGAGGGGCGCCTGCGAGGAGGGGGGGCCCTTTGTAAACTCTACATAACCTCCCAGACAACAGACAAGCATTCTAACACGCCCACTCCGTGCAGGCAGGGTAGCGGATTCAGCTGTATGTCGCGACAGCGACCAGAAGGCTGCGTGGTCGGACCTTGTGCCGCAACCCGTGCCTCAGAAAAAAGCCCCCCTCGACAGTCGGAGGAAAGAATTGGATCTGGAGGATTCTGGTGACGATGCTGCCGATGATCATGACTATGATGCTGATGTTTGTGGTGATGTGGACCAGGATCAGGATGATGATTATTACGACGATGGCAATGATGATACGAACGGTTGTTGGTGGTGGTGCTGGTGTTGGTGTTGGTGTTGGTGTGGGTGTTGGTGTTGTGATTGTTGTTGTGGTTGTGGTTGTGATTGCTGTTGTTGGTGTGGTCGTTGTTGTGGCGGTTGTTGTTGTGATTGTTGTTGTTGTGGTTGTGGTTGTGATTGTTGTTGTTGTGGTTGTTGTTGTGGTTGTTGTTGTGGTTGTCGTTGTTGTGGTTGTTGTTGTGGTTGTGGTTGGTGTTGTTGTTGTTGTTGGTGTTGATGTGGTTGTTGTTTTGTTGTTTTTGTTGTTGCTGTTGTTGTTGTTGTTGTCGTTGTCGTTGTCGTTGTCGTTGTCGTTGTCGTTGTCGTTGTTGTTGTTGTTGTTGTTGTAGTTGTTGTTGTTGTTGTTGTTGTTGTTGTTGTTGTTGTTGTTGTTGTTGTTGTTGTTTTTGTTGTCGTTGTCGTTGTAGTTGTCGTTGTCATTATTGTTGTTGTTGTTGTTGTTGTTGTTGTTGAACATTATTAATTCTAAAGAATAATTATTGTTGAGACCCCTGGTGCACGGCCCCCCTGCGCCGCCTAGGCCGCAGCTACATTTTCATCATTTTCGTGAGGAAGCCTCAGGTAATACGATGTCATCAAGATCCGGCTGTTTTGTTGTAATCCGTTTTCCCTTGCAAAAAACACTATAAAATGACATTTCTTGTTCTAATATAATCAAATTTCAAGAATCCCTTGCAAAAAATAAGGTAAAGTGGACATTCGCGCGCGCAAGACGAAATCCTTCCAAAAGCTTAGTGTTCGGAGCGATTTTAACATAAAAACATCAAAAAACCAATGGTTTTTCAACAAAAAATGTCAAAATCTCATCCCGCGCGCTCTTGCGGATTCGTAGGAAACCCAACACTTTTTAAACATTTCTGTCAAACGGGCTTTTGCGAGCAACTTTTTCGAACTTCTGCAACAACGGTTGCGCACCTGCCAGGGCCATCATCCCTGTCAAATAATACCATGCGGGACACATTCGTTTTTTCTTCGCGCGCGCACGCCGTCGTCGTCGGCCGCGGGGCCCTGAATAGTAGCCACGGTCGTCCGCATGCCACGAAGTGAAGTGTCCGAACGTCATAGGGCGGGAAGCTGGGTGTGGGTGGTGGCGAAGAGTCGTTTGGAAATTTGGTAGAGCTTGAACCGGCCCCCCCACAAAGTGGGGGTATTGCCCGCCTCCTATGAAAACCCTGGCACTGGTGAGAACGGAGTGTCCCCAGTCTTAAATGATTGTTGTTGTTGTTGTTGTTGTTGTTGTTGTTGTTGTTGTTGTTTTTGTTGTTGTTGTTGTTGTTGTTGCTGTTGTTGTTGTTGTTGCTGTTGTTAAGGATGATGATAATAATGTTGATGCTGATGCCAATGCCGATGCCGATGATGGTGGTGATGGTAGAGGTGGTGGTGGTGGTGATTATGATGCTGATGCTGGTTCTGCTGCTGATGATGTTGCTGATGATGATGTGTAGAGCTCGCTCTTGAATGATTAGCGGCACGGGACATGCCGACAACAAAAACACTGTAATCATATGTGCTCAAGTTTTTTAGCGGCGGAACGATCAGATGCTCGAACACGTTCAGCGCAAATGGGAGAGTCTGGTCCATGGCGCTCGTCGGCTGGGTCACGTGCGTTGCCTGTGGGGCCTTCTCGGCGGCCACCTGAGAGAAATAAAGCAGCGAGGGCGGATCGTCGAATGAGGACGGAGCAGGGCGCTGCGATGGCGGCGCTCGGAGTGTTGCTATTGATCAGGTGCGACGTGCCTGGCCCTGATATCCCTCATGTGAGGATGGTCACTGGCGTCTCGGCTGCGGAGCCGTCCCTACTCTCGACGTTCATGAACGACGGGGTTCACTACGCCGAGGACGTCGGGCGGCGGCACGGCGACATCGCAGAGGTGAGGTGGCTCGCTCGACCAGGAGACACCCCGCCAGGCGTCGACCTACGGCAGATCTACAGGTTCCCGAACCCTGCCGGCGCCGCCACGCTCGAGCAGGGCAAGTGCGACGGTGCCGTCAGCGACCCAGGCAGCGCGGGTGTGTTTGGGCGCGCGGGCGCGCCAGCGCCCCTCGCCCCGCCGGGCTCGGTGCGGGCGGCCACGGAGGACCACTGCGGCTACGCGCGTGGGGCGGAGCTCCACGACCCCCTCCCCGTCGGGTACGCGTGCCTCGACCACTGTGCAGTGGTGGAGCCCCCAGCGGGCAAGATCGCTGCCCGCCTGGCCGCCCGCAGGTACCTCGAGAGCTACGTGGTCGACGACAAGTGGGTGAGCCACGTGAAGTTCAACAGCGAGGAAGTGCGCAGGTGGCCCTTCGCAGGGGCGATCGACAGCCAAGTGTCTGACGTACCAGGGGGAGGGACCATGGTCCAGGGGCCGCACTCCGCGCTGCCGCTCGCGCCGTCATGGCGCGACACGGGGCTCTCGGCGGAGGCGCATCATGAGAGCTGGGTCCGCGGTGTGGGGCTCCCCGACGGCGACCGCTCAGGGCACGAACGCGAGATGATCTGCCGCGTGCTGGGGTCGATGCTGACGGTGGGCCCGCTCAACACAGGCGTGCCCCGGTCCGCGGTGCTCCTGGCGCAGGGCCTACAGCTCATCAGCGACGCCCCACGAGGTTCGCCCTCGGACCCGTGCTACTCCGCGGCCGACTTCTACATGGAGTTCCAGACGAGAAATGACGGTGCCTCGGTGGAGCCAGCGTTCCAAGAGTATGTCGCCGAGAGCCTCAAGGAGGAGGCCGCCAACCATAAGGAGAAGCGCAGGTCGAAGGAGGAGGCCAAGGTCAGACAAACATCCCCCAGGCGGAGCTGGGGGGACTGGATCATGATGTCCTCAGGCTGGAGTCTTGGGCCGAGCTCCAGCCGACAACAGGCCTCTGAACGGGGGCGGCCCGCCGCAGTTTTGTCCGCCAAGCCCGACCGCCAGCGTGACCTCTTCCCGCTGCCGAAGGTCGAAGTGGCTGCACCCACGAGGCAAGGGGCTTCGGAGTGTGTACGCCGCAGGCTAGCCCGCCGTCGCCGACTTCAGGCCGAGTGCAATGAGGTGGTAGACGGCATCAACTTACTACACCCTCCGCTGCTGCAGCACGGTCCTGCGAACGCCGCCCAGAGGGAGGCCCATCGGGCAATTTTTTCCAAGGTGAAGGCTGCCCCAAGAGCCGACGCCATGCGCGCCCGCCGCGAGGCCGCTCGTGAGCTTCTGGCTACCAGCTTCTCGTGCACAGGCGAGGAGGCAAAGAGTCCGGTTGTGCAGTGCGACAGATCCCGAGTAGACATCCCCAGAGTGGGGTCGGCGGTGCCTCGGGTCGAGGCTGCGATTGGCCCGGTCGGGAGGGGGTATCTGCTGCACTTGCACATGCTGCGCTCTGCTGATGAATGGGGGAGGATCGTCGAAACCGAGCCCCCCATCACCCCCTACATGGACGAGTACCTGCGGAAGCACGAGGACGCTTACATCACGTTCGTGAGCGATCTCGTGGGGCAGGCGCAAGCGGCATGCCAGCGGCCCCACCGGCCGGACGAGCAGGGCCCGCCGCGCCGCTTCGGGCCACCGCCCGAGCTCAGCTCGGGGATCCCGCCCTTCGCCGAGCTCATGTGCGGGTCCGCTCACCTCGCAGCCGCCGTTGGCGAGTGCGGGCTTGCTGCCGAAGGCTGGGGCTACATCGACGGGACTGCGGCTGACCTCGAGGTCCCCGCCGTGATTGAGGGTTTCAGGCAACGCATCCGACAGCGTCGCCTTTGTGGGCTTCATTTCGGCCTGAACTTCAATGCGTGGTCGAGGGCCATGAAGAATGACGGGCTAGGGCCACCTCCGCTGCGAAACGACCAGCACTTGTTTGGCCTGCCCGCCCTCTGCCCCGCAGATCAGAAAACGGTTGACAGCGCTAATTTGATTTTAAGCCACATCCTGAGCCTAGTCAGAGAAGCCATCGATGCTGGTCTTTTTGTCCTGCTTGAGAACCCCGCCACATCTAGGCTCTGGATGACGCCGCAACTGCGTGAGCTCGCTAATGTATGCAATGCTAAGTTTCATCGTGTCGACTACTGTCAGTACAATGTGCCGTGGCGGAAAGCCACGATTTTTCTGGCCTTTAACCTGCCCGAGCTTGACGGTGCTCTCCGCACTTGCTCGGGCACTCAAAGGCGATGCAGCGCTTCGGGAAAAAAAGGACGCATCACTCTGCGAGGCAAGGGTGCTCAGGGCACCTTCTGGACGTCCCGTGCCTGCCCGTATCCACCCGCTCCATGCTCCGAGCTGGCGAGTGCAATCAGCCAGCGGGCCAAGACACTGTTTGGAGGTGGGTAGGGGCTTCAGATTTTGGAGGCAGCGGAGCTGCTAGTGTCTCGAGCCGCCTGCCTAGCAGGCGATCCCGATTCAGAGCTTCTGAAGTGGTCATAAGCAGGTGACCCTGGCAGTGAAGCAAAATGAGCATCGTCCTTACATTGGCTTGGCCAGTAAAGCGGGAATCATGTGTAGAACTCGCTTTTGAATAATTAGCGACACGGGACATGCCGACAACAGAAGCACTGCAATCGTATCGGCTCAAGTTTTTTTCTCTCTTTTTATCTTTTTTCCTTTATTCTATATATATATATATAACAAGCGGCCCCGCCGTCCTCTCCTCTTTTCTTTTTCCCCAAAGGGGCGTCAGCTTTTGGAGGCAGCGGAGCTGCTAGTGTCTCGAGCCGCCTGCCTAGCAGGCGATCCCGATTCAGAGCTTTTGAAGTGGTCATAAGCAGGTGGCCCTAGCAGTTAAGCAAAATGAGCATCGTCCTTACATTGGCGTAGCCAGTAAAGCGTGAATCATGATAATGTTGATAATGGTGATGATGATGGTGATGATGATGATGATGGTGCTGG